GAATACTGCTTCCACGGGCGACCGAGGTAGACCTTGTATTGACCCTTGATAGGCGCCAAATCCCTCGTGGCATCCACCTTGCAGTCTATGATGGATATCCCGGTGTTCTGGTTGGGGTCCTTCCGCCCTTGCGCGGTGTAGACGAGAGTGTTTTGCTTTTCGCCGGGTTTCCGGGCGCGCAGATTGCACTTCTGGAAAACTGCCGCTGCGTTGCCGAAGATGAAGTCGACGGTTCCGAAAATGTCGCACTCCCGATAGAATTGGCGGTTGGAGAAGGTGTAGAGTGTGTCTTGGAAACCATGGAAGCTGCACTTGTAGAATACTGAGAGGTCGGCGCTGTTTCTCACCGCCACGGCTTGGTGCTTCTCGGGGCCGGCCGTGTTTTCGAAGGTTATGCCTTTGGCTATGAAGCCTGCCCCTGAAACAGCTGTGAAAAAAAGAAGAAAAAGAAGATTTTCATCATTTTTCTGAAGTTAGAGAGGGGTGGATATAAACTGAGTTCAGCAAAATGAATTACATCACTTTTTTTTTAAAAAAAAAAAGTGGCAATAGAGACATCACACACGGAGAAAAAAACTCGTGCGTGGGACCCGAGGTTTAGGTCATATGGATCTCTAAAGTTTTCGGATTGACCATCTGAACACTTTAGGTCTAGCTGTCGAGGTTCGGATCGCACATCTGAAACTTCAGTTCTTACATCTGAAATACTTCAGATGTAAGAACCGAAGTTTTTCGGATGTGAAAACCCAGGTACTGCAGTTGTAAGAACTGAAGTTTCAGATGTATGATCCAAACCTCAGCAGCTGGACCTAAAGTGTTCAGATGCTCAATCCGAAAACTTCAGAGATCCATATGACCTAAACTTCGGGTACCTTGCACGAAGTTTTTTTCTCCTTGCATAGATCGCATTCACTAAAAAGGAACCAGCGTGATTACGGTGTTTTCAAAATCGTGCAAATTATTTTTTTCTTTTAAAAATACTAAATTTGTATACGTACAATAGGTTTTAAAATTAACACAATTATTTCCCTTTAAAATTGACAATTTTTGATGGGATGCAAAAACTATTTTCTATTTTGGGATATGTCTTAGATAATTATGAAGAAGCAACATTTTAACAACACTGTAATTGTTCTGGTTCCTTTTTGCTAAATGCGATCCACATGTTTTCAGGTGGCGCACTAGTCTCACTCGGAGAAAAATGGAGAATTTGCATAAAAAAATTGCATTGTTGCATTTAAGAGTGCTTTTTAAGCCTAGTTTGTAGTTTATTTCATAATTTTTTTCTGAAAAATTGTGGAAGAGAAGATTTTAAAGTGAGAAAATGTACCGCCTTGTGACGTGATTTGGCGGCATTTCCCGTTTGGATTACATTTTGTAACATGAAACCACTATCTCAGGCTCTTCCATAAAAGCGCCTTTTGTTCAGGGAAACCAATGGCATATATGTTGTTTCTAAAATGAGCCAGAAATAATGGTTCCTTCCTGTAAAATGTGGTCTTAAGTGTCACTTATGTTTTGGCAGATTCGATTATTTTGCCATATTCCCTCCAATAATTGTTTAATTTAGAGACCAAGGATATTCTTGTGCTCAGTTCTCTTAGTTCAAATGTGTTTACCACATGAGTTGTGTCCAATGTGTTGTGTTGAATATTCATCACTTGTAGAATAAAAATAATTGAAGTTTTCAAGAAAAGGTTTTCAGGTTTCATTCGGTAGTTTTCCACGTAGAAAATGAAGTATGACAGAAAGTTCGCAACGCCGCAAACCGAGATGAGTTTCTCAAAAGTTTCACCATCGATACGTCGTGAATGAAGCCTGAAGTAAACTTTTTTTTTAACTTAAAGAAAAGGTCGAGTATGTTGTTTGTGACCACATCATGAAAAATGTTTTCACACCCTATTCAAAATGGGAGAAATGTTTTTACACCATTTTTAAAAGGGGAAAAAATGTCTTTACACCCTATTCAAAAGGGGAAAAAATGTTTTTACACCTCATTCAAAAGGGGAATAATCCAACTTACCAAATGTAGCTGATCTAAAAGTAGTCGATCCATCAACAACATTCTTACTGCCCGTTATGATCGTCTTTCCAACCCCATCTCCAATAAGCATTAGATTCATTTTTTTCTTGCTCACTTTCACTTGCTCCTTGTACTTTCCGGCTTTGATATATATTGTAAACCTGCAAATGCAGAAAAATAGTTAAGCACAAAGTATAAAAAATTAGTCAAATAGGCGATTGATCAAACTGTGCGACATAAAAACGAGCAAATGATTTCCTTGCATCTATTGCTCATTGTCCGCACAGACTGAGGAATGCACGGTAAAATGGATTGTTGATTTAACAATTAAATTGTTGAAAAATATGTCCGACATGTTTCAAACGTACATTTTACAATAGTGGAACATTTTACATTTACATGTACATTTTTTCATAGTGAAAAATACATTGAAACGTTTTGGGCATACACTTTAACTACAAAATTGTTAAATCAGCAATTTCATTAATTTCGTGTGATTTCTTAGAAAATGCTAAAAACACCATGGCTCTAATCTTACTGATACAGAAGCTGTGCTGATGTTGTTTAAAGGAAGTGTTGACGACCAAAACGAGATCACGTTCTCCTCAAAATCTGACTGATTTAATCTGATTTAAACGAATGGACTGATTTCTGCACTCAAATTTTTAGATCCATTTTCTTGAAATTTCAGTTTTGAAGTCACCTGTTCCATCGAAAATTTACCAGCATGCATCAGAATAATCAGTTATCAATCAGAAAAGCCACTAACACTGCTAGTGATATTTGAATCTCATATGGCAAAAAAGAACCAGCGCGATCACAGTGTTCTAAAAATGATGCTTCCTCATACCTATTTATCTAAATAATGTCCCAGAATAGCAGGAAGTTTTTGCCTCCCACCATAAACTTATTAATTTTAGATAGAAATAATTGTAAATTTTAAAACTGTACATATATTAAATATTTTTGAATGAAAAGAAGAAATTGCACAATTTTGAAAACACTGCAATCGTGAAGGTTCCGTTTTAGTGTATTTTCCGAAGGAAAGATACACTATTGCGTTCTCCCTCATGGTGGGACCTAGACCTGGGAGCATGTAAAGAGCACCGATCTCGAGTCGTAGATCACGAATATATATGTCATTCATTTTCTGTCATATATATGTATATAACCAAAATTCTAAAACTCTTCACCTCTCTTAATTTAAAAATCTAAATTTTCGTTTATACTCCTATTTTCAAAATTATCTGTAAAGACGTTAATAGCCTGAGTCGCTGAATGTCTTAAAATTATAATAACTAACTAACTGTATGTATGTATGTATGTATGTATTTCAGCCAGCGTGAGGATTTTTCAGTTTTCAGAGCGTTGAGCGGCAGTTAATTTTTAAGTTTCTTGAAACGAAACTTCTGGGGTTTATAGTCCCCTAAGAGTACTTTTAAACTGTGAAGAAAAAATCGGAATGCGTTAATTACTTTTCGCACAGCGAGGGGTCAAAGTGGGGGGAGGTTTAATTTTGTCCACGCGATAACTCGAGTAAAAATGAATATTTTGAGCTGAAATTTTGATGGCAGTTAGATATCTACTAAGACTAGTTTCCTATTGAATTTCAGTGAAATCGGCCAACGCGTTCCACTATAGTTGCAATTTACCGTTTTTACGGGTGAGGGGGGGGGGTAAGGAGTTGCGCAGCCAAGGGGAACTGTTTCTTGAAACATATCTGTGGCAAGAGGGGTAGGGTAAATGATTTCATTCCCCAATGTGACACTACCCTTCGGAAAATACACTCATGCCGCGGTAAATGCGCGGACTACAAAAAGAACCGTCCCCTACTTGCCGGCAACCCCACGGAAAAACCCTGCCGCTTGCGGCAGGGTTTTGCCATATGATATCCATTTTATGCAATCAGTGGTTCATTTTTGAAGTTATTTCACAATTATTAAATTTTAATGTCACTGGAACGGATCACTGGACAAGGTGACGATTGAAGTACCATTACTCTTGTTTTTTCATCAAATGTAATTAAAATTTACAAAACTACTTCATATTTTCACCATTTTTAGTGCAGCAGGAGCACGTATGAAAATGTCGATTCTAAACCAAACTCGTGCCAAGTCTGAATATTAGACTTTTTTGACCCCCTGATTTCTAGAGTAAAATAGGAGGGCATGGATTCGATCAACACGAATCGATCGACAAATAGAGACGTAAACCGATTGACGGGATTTGATTGACAAAATTCGATTGATTGCCAATAATACGAGGGATATCTCGATCGTATCCCGGTTGTCAATCGAACGGTTATATACCACGTTTCTATTGTATAGTCGATCGAATCGGCACCGGTTTTTCAATAAAACTTCGATGGAGTCGGTTTCAATCGGCTCACATCAATCAATTCACATTTTTTTTATTCATGCTGATCAAATTCATACCCTGCAGGAAACTACTGCCGTGCTAAGCAAGAACGCTGTAAATCCATCAAGATTTTCCCTCGTTTTTTTGGAACTTAACACTTTATTAAAATAATCTGTTTTGCCCATGCACTGAAAATTAATAATTGATTGGTAATTTTACCAAGACAGGCTGGTAAGCTTACCTAAAACCAGTATTTTTACTATTTTTCAGGTAAGAATACCACTTTTATTGGTAATCAATTCCCGGTAACTTTACCATTTTGTCCCGGTAATTCCACCACAGTCGATGAAAAATATTGGCGTTTTTACCAAGGTCCAGTAAAATTACAGAGAAAGTTCAATAATTTTACCGAGATTTTTCAGTAAAATTACCAATTTCATAAATGGTACTTTATTTAACAAGAAAAAACTGGGATCCAATGGAACCCTGAATTCTTGGTAATTTTACCCTTTTCTTAGTAAATACACCGAGATTTTTTTTCAGTGTGCATTTGTGCAACTCAAATATTCAGGTAAAGTACTTGATAACATTTGCGAAAGAATTCTGTGAATACATTGTCCCAAGGTACATAAGTTTTTCTGCTATTATATATTGTTTCCAAAACTGTAAAGTGGCATTCACGGCATTTACGGCGTTTTTGCGTTGCACGTCAGGCTACCCTTGTGAAAATTAAAGATTTACCTTTTCTTGCTTTTGTCCGGAGCAGAATTGATAGCCGCTTGCACGCTTTTGAATTTCCCAGTGCCGTCTGTGGCCACCACACAATCATACGACATCGACTTCGGATCTTTAACTACGAATCTCCTGTCGCGTTTCGTCACCCACGTCGGGAATCCTCCTTGAAGCTCCCCAAACTCCGGGAAAACTTCATCATTGGTTGCTTTCGTGCTTTCGGGAACTTTCTTAAGCATGACAAGAGAGTTACTCACGTGCCCGGTAACTCTTGTGAGCTTCTCCCGGAACTTGTCAGCCAAGTTGTTCCCACTATGATAACCCAAACTATCCAAGCACGTGTGGACGTTGGTCATAGCCCCGCTGAGAACCGTCTGCAAGTTGTGGTAGGGTTTCGGGCCTGTTTCATTTTCCTCGAACTGGGAGATGATTTCCCTCAGGGCGGAGTTAGTGTCCTCGAACAGAGTGATGCAGTCGTCCAGAGCTTGGTGTTCAACACCTGCGAGGTTTTCGTGGGTCTTTTTCACATCGGCGACATGACAGGAACATAAATCTATCTGTCAATAGAAAAATCCGCTATTTGAGGGAGTATTAAATAAATAATGATGTTCTAAACGTACAGAAAAATAGTTTTCTGCCGCGCTAGGGAAAAACTCCGCCATATCAGCCTTCAGGCATTGCCAAATTTTCATGGATACAACACGAATTTCCTGGGAAACGTATGAATATTTTTCTTTCAATTTTTTGGATAATTCTGTTTGCAATTTAATATACATTATTTGGAAATTTCATAGAAAAATATTCATAGCTTTCCTAAAAAATAAACATTGTATCGGAGGAAATTTGGCAACTCTCGAATTTTCATACGGCGTTTATCCTTAACACGGCAGCATTACCTCCGTTTGGCGCAATGCGAGAAGTATTCATGCAGTCTTGTAGGCGCTGATATGGGCTGTGCGCCAACCGCTCTGTTTGGCGCAATGCGTGAGTTATTCCTGCAGTCTTGCAGGCGCTAATATACGTTTAATGCCGGCTGCACTGTTTGGCGCGATTATTCGAACTCCCGTTACAATAATCGCGGCATCGAATAATAGAACTTAGAAGCTCCATGTTGTATTTTGACGCCGCATAAGCATTTCGACGTTGCCTCGTTTCTCCGATTAAATATTTTTTTCCGAGAAAAGTTAGGTAAGTTCTTCATACCCTCGACCAATATTCAATCACATTATTTCATTTATCATCAGAGGGTAAGACATCGATGATTTGTCAACAAACTAACCTAAACTGGCGTAACATAATAATGCCAGTATTTTCCAATTGTTTCCTGCTTTGCCAAACTTCTACCTTAAATTAATTTCATTTTAAAATTCGCGATTCCTGTAGCAGATGTTAAGGATTCTATTCGCGCAATCCTTGTGCCTTTTTCGCACAATCCTTGAAAATTATTCAGACCTTTCGCGCAGTTCTGGATTACCGATTTAAACCTGCGTTGAAAAATCGATTCTTGACAGAACACCTGCCCCGTCCGAGAATCGATACATTCCATAGATTTAAATGGAGAGGAAACAATATACCAATGAGCTCGAGTTCAAAGATACTCTTAGTGCCAGATTGTTGCTCTAAGCAGTAATTTGTGTCGACCAATGGACCACAAGACATGGTACGAATTTGAGCATTCTGATACATGTTTCTTAACCAGAATTTTACGTAAAACACGATTAGCGCAACAAGTATTACTGAAACCAAATCCTAACGAAGATATTAAAGTTTTTATTTCACATTGATTACAAGGAATTTGAACTGCCCGCTCACAAGAAACTCAAAGCTCTACGTGAGTCAAATAGCGCATTACAACGGTTTCAGCAAGCTTCTCAATCGAGCTATGTTCATTTCCCACCATGTGTCGTTCAAACTATAAGCAATTTGCTATAGTTGAGCCCAAGCGTCAAGATTGAGGTTGCCAGATTTTTTTATCGCAGAGACTGTCATGATAACGTTTAGGGCGCGATGTGAATCACGTAGAGATCGAGTTTTCGTGAGCGAGTGGTTTGAATTCACGCATCAAGAGGCATTAAATATCTTTGTGAGGAGTTGATTTTGGTAATTTTCGTTGTGCGTTTCGTATTTTACATGCAATTTTTATCGAGAATCATGTATCAGAAAGCTGAAATTCGTGCCTTGTCTAATGGTTCATTCATATCATACCAACTTTTAGCCTCAAATATGAACTTAAATAGCTCTGGAACCAAACTTGACATACCTCAATCACAGTTTGGTTGAGGACGATACTCATCATCTCCGTGACTGATCTAGAGGCGAGATTAGGGAGGGAGGACAGGAGAGAGATGCATTGCTCCGGGTAGAGAGTCCCGTCGCATGTGATTTTGGCGACTCGAACATGCTCCTCGACATGGACGCGTTCCTGGACACGGATGGTTGTTGTTGTTGCTTCTTGAGGCCATGGTGTTGCTTCTGCGATGACGGTTACGTGAAGCACCTGAAAAAGCGGGAAAGAATTTGCACGAAAGGAATGATGAAAAAAAATTTGGTAGAATGAATCGAACGTCCGGTGTTCCACTATCTTCCGAAATATAGGGTGTCTCAGAATTAAGGGATGGTTTACATATGGACCGCGTTAAGAAGAAAGGAACAAAACCTCGTCAGCAATTGCCAAATTAAATAGGGAAAATTAATTTTTTTACATGACAACGGTTTTGCGGATTTCCGTGCAAACTTCAGTGCACCTTCTGCATACTACGAAGCAAATTCTTTAAAATTTTCAAATGAATCTGCTGATCTGCACAAACGTTTTTTCGTGAAGAATTAAATGACTTTATTAAATTTGGCGATTGCTTGGTTTCTTCTTGCCAGACGCGGTCCACGTGATTCAATTTTTCGGGTAAAAGTAAGCATTTTTTGTGGTAAGCCACCACTTTTTCGAAAAACACCCCCTATTTTTGCAACTGTGGCCTACCAAAGGTCTGCAAACTTTCTTGTACCAAATCTCTCGTTTCGTCCAAATATTTACTTTTCCGACATTCTCATGAAGATTATTCGTACTTTTTGGGACCTCCAGTTACGATTTACCAAGACGCTTGCCTGATATGTTCATAAAGAATGGTATGGATAGGTTGTCAAAAAAGGCTCCGGCCTGGAGTACCTATGGCAGGTAACGTTATGAGGACACCCTGCTAAATCTTAATTTTATAATATACCCCCAAAAAATAAGCGGGCTCGTTTTACTGGAGGAACTCTGGATCGCTGTTAGTTGGGAGTTACGCTCCCGTAAATTTGACAATTGTATACATAATATTAGGATCCAAATTTTTACGGGGGGCTGTGGGTTTTCTTTTATATAGATTCTATCCTTTTTGGGGGAGGGTTGTTTCGACCCAAAATTACAGTGGACTCAATTTAATCTGGAAATGAATTATATCGAATGACAATTATTTAAAAAAAAAATCCTTTTTGTTATACTCAACAGGGACATCAGGCAAATTTGTCGCAAGTGATTGGAGTTTTTAATTTATTGCCATCGTCCGTTACAACAAAACGAAATACCCTTTGGGCAACAGTGCGGCTACAACATTTGGTTTCCATGCTGGCAGCAATGATGACAACCACATCCAAAATTCATGGTTGGTTGAAAATTAAATGGATAAAAAAGTTAGCCAAAATACATCAAGCAACTGAATTTAGTTCTTGACCTCAGCAGGGAATTTTTCTCTTTTGGTTCGTAATCCTGCCAATCTGGATGAAATGAAGATCAAATACATTCGCAAAAATTTGCGTTTAGTAAAATAGGACGAATGATAAACAATAATCTCTTTAATGCTTTGAATATTTTTTTTACAAGATGTGAGGTTTAAATATCTTCGTCAGCTAATTCATTGTTACCATGCTTTCAATGACAAGAAACACCTACTTTAAGTGAAAGAGACTTACCGTGAGAAGAATAAGTATTAGTGAACCAATCTCACCGCGATATGTACACAACTGCGATGTTAAATCCATCGGGACACCTATGAATAATGTATGAATATGAACTGACTCATGTCTAACGGGGCTATATTGGATATTTTTCCCGCACAAAACCGGGACGCGGAACTATTAGCACGCGCGAGGGCTCGGATCGAAAGAAGACAGAAGCAGCTGTGTAAACGTTAATTCGAAAAATTAATTTTCATTTAAATAGGGTCACAATCTGCAATACTGATCCTGAAAATCGGGAGGCGCATGTCGAGAAAAATGTGCGAAAAAGATTGAATTAGAAATAGCAATCGCGGGTTTGATCACATGGATTGATATATAGCAACCATGAATGAAACGCTTAGTATTGACTTTTTGTAATCTGAGAAGGTGCGTCATCAGCCATCAATAATTGTCACCTGTGTAAATTTGACTGAGCACGCGCTGGCCAAAGCGTGCCGAAAAAAAGTGCGAGCAATGTGACACGGAAAATTGAAAAATTATAAGAGAGATGCAAATTTATGATGACATTTCGGTGCCTCGTTTAGTAAATTCTTTTAATTTTGAAGATGCATGCTATTGGGTCTGAATGGGTCCCTTGACTTTGTGTTTTTTATTTAATAATCAGTGTCTGGTGCGTTAGATCACGTGGTGATCCATTGCGTATTTTTGGAGCCAAAAGTCTGGACAAGCCAAGTTTGCTGGCCTCCTATGGTTTAGTGGTTGTAGCGCTAGCTCTATGATCGGGAGCAGGTACAGGTCCCGGGTTCGATTCCCGGCTAGGCAACCCGATTTTGATGGTCTCAAACAACGGTTACCTGGGCTGCCGTGCTAAGGAAGAACGCCGCATGAACACTCAAGAGTTGTCGAATTTCCTTCAATAAAATGTTTATTTTTGAGATTAATTATTTATTTTTCCTTGAAATTTTCGGACATTTTAGATCAAATTACAAATCAAAATTATCTGAGGAATTGTATGACAAATATTCGAAAATTTTCCTAGAAATTAGTGATTTGCTACGGGGAATTTGGCAACGCCTGAAGGCTCATACGGCATTCATCCTTAGCATGGCAGTGAGGCTGGCTTGATTAGGGACGGAGGGGGACGGGACTAAAAGCGCAAGTCCTTGTGGGATATTTGAAAAAGCCCGCTATCAAAAAGTCCAATGACTCGAAGGAATTTCAAACACGTCGGAATGGCGGAAAATTGATGGAAAAGACGGAAGTACTACGGCAATCAAAACACTATCTTCACTGATCTCCGCTGATGTTCGTTAAAATAAACTGTATTTCAATGTGAAATTGTCGTTAAATTACTACAGATAACATAAATGAGATTCGATTTTTTTTTTTATTCTGAAGATTTAGCTTCTACTTTCCTATTGTTTTCATATACGACGAAAAGAAAGGTATTTGACGGAAGTGGTAGAAACTCGTGCTCGCTCCTGATTAGTGCCGGGTGAAATTGTTCGGCTCGACGCAAAATCATTATTTGGTGACTTTGCTTCAGAACATTGTCTTTGGTTCATCACATTTTCTCTCTCTCCAGGAATGATTCAAAAATGGTATGCTGACTTACTCAGGCGACGCACAGTGGATTGAGTTAATCGGAGAGATCGGACAAAATTTGGAAACTTTAAACGCTTGCAACTCCGTTTATACAAAATGTTGAGGTTCTAAGAGTGGTTCTATTGGTTTCCTCGTGAAATTTGCCTCTAGAAGCACCCCTTAAAATTTACTAAGTGACAGAATAAACATCAAATTTACAGTTTTAGTCAAAAATTTTATGTCCAAGCTCTCTAATTGACTCGATCCACTGTGCGACGTGCAGCGAGTGAAATGCTAAAATACGAGGAACCTAAGTACTGGAATTTAGACGATAACAAGAGAAAAAACAGATAAAAGAAAATACTGCATATGACCTACATACATGCAATTTAAGTAATTTCTTCCATAAGCAAGTCTTCACGAGAATGCATGTGCGTGCAGTTTTCACGGCATTGTTCTTTTGTTTTCTGAGCCGTATAATCTTCTTTAGCTCCTAATACGTCTAGAAATACAAGTTCCTTCGAATATTAACAAATTTAAGATTCCATTTTACCAAGCATCACTCTCAAAAGATCACATTTTATCAATTTTGCTGTGCTGATGCTTCACTTACTCACAACTCAGGGTCATTTTGCAAATTCTTGATAAAAGTTATCTCATCCAAGTTTTTCCTGCTTACTTGTTTTTGTCTCTTATACATTTCTTTATCAATACCATTTCACGCTATAATTCTCAATAAAGTTCTTCCCTTAGGAACCTGCTCTGAGTTTACTCAAATTTATAATGCAGAATTTCTTTTCTATCCATTCTCACCAGAATTGAAATTAAAATGATGATTGAAGCAATGTGAAGCGAGTAGATGAACGAGGTATCGCTGTTCGCTGAACGGCCACGTGAATAAAACCCCTTCAATTAACACTTCAGGCAACTTTTTGCGCACGTATGACTTGATCTCCTAACTACTTGATGCTAGCCTTAAAGAACCGAACTGTAGTAGTCTATTCTTACGTGGAATCGTAATCGACCGAGAATTATTTTCAGGGTGGTTGACCGATTATTGGATCGGTTTCTGTTAGATGGGCGTAAGTCTAAACACTCATGAGTCCTAGCTTTCGTTGATCAGGCCTGGACGCTAAGGCTCGTAGTTGTTGAACTTCCGCCCGTCTAACAGAAACCGATTCAATTGCTTTTCGGGCCATGAACTGATTAGCTTATAGCTATGCTGGCTGTATTGCTATGAAAATGTAGTAGTAAAAAAGTATGACAGGAAGTCTGCAACGTCGCAAACTGAGATACGTGGCCCAGTATATAGTTTCACCGGCGAGACGGTCACAGCAACCTATTGGAAAAACTGAAAGTCTTGAAAATCCTGACATAAGTATGTTGTTTTATTATCAATTTTATTGTACAAATTTGTAGATAAAAAAATTGAGGGATCTTGTCTATTGATCCATCTCCACACGTGCCCGTTAAAATAATAACGCACATTGAGATAACGTTTTCGACAGAGTGAGTCCGCGAAAATCGTCGCAGAATGTAACCAAGAAATTAAATATATTTAATTTTTAATGCATTTTTTGAAGAAACTTATGTATTTTCCGTCGTAACGTAACAAAACAGAAATCTACTCTCCTAATTTTCGACGAACAAGTAATCATCAATCTCTACTTAACTTAGCCAAGGGAAGAAGGGAACACCAGTCCATTTTAACCACGTATTCCCCGCTATAAACTTATCCACGGTGAACATCCCAGCCTCCTGTTCATTAGTGATCACCCTGTACCCGGACCACTTGACCCTCCCGGCCGTATTCGCCCCCGGCCCCGTATTCTGATACTCCCCGTAATACAACGTCGTCAAGCCGAACCCCTTATCCCATTCCAGCCACCCGGCAGGGTTGATCAGATCATCGATGAAGGACTTCATGAACACCGTCCGCGAGAACATCTTCCAGGGGCGACCCAGGTAGGTTTTGAACTGCGCCTTGACAGGTGCCAAATCCGCCCCGGCGTAGATCTTGCAGTTGATTATGGAGATCCCGGTGTTGGAACGGGGGTCCTCACGGCCCTGGGCGGTGATGACGTTGGTCTGGGACGGGTCCGGCTTGCGGACGATGATGTCGCAGTTCTGGAAGACGGCGGCGGCGTCACCGAAGATGAAGTCGATCGTGCCGGCGACCTGGCACTCCCGGTAGAACTGGCGGCCGGCATGGGTGTAGAGGGTGTCTTGGAAGCCGAGGAAGGCGCATTGGTAGAAGACGGACATGTCGGCGCTGTTCCGCACCGCCACGGCTTGGTGCTTCACGGAGCCGGCCACGTTCTCGAAGGTTATGCCTCTGGCGATGAAGCCGTTACCGATTACAGCTGAAAGGAAGATTTACGTTAACGCTGAAAGAGTGACTTGATGAAAGCATATCGACGGTGAAACTACATGACCACGTATCTCGTTTGCGATGTTTAAAAATCTCCGCTCCCATTATATTTTTTTGAGGGAATACGAATCAAGATTAATTCTTGAAATTTTCACGGAGTTTTCTCCCCACAGAGAGGAAAAAACATGAAAGTTTTCGAGAATTGACGTTGAGTAGTTTTCCCTTTAAAAAATGAAGAATGACAGGAAGTCTACAACGTCACAAATCGAGATACGTGGTCTGGTAGTTTCACCGTCGATATTCTTAAACTTGCCAAAATGAAAAGAAAAAAAAAAAAAAAAAAAAAAAAAAAAAAAAAAAAAAAAAANAAAAAAAAAAAAAAAAAAAAAAAAAAACTTCGGCCGGGGAAGCCATAAAAAGGGAGGGGCTACTGAGGTTACTAGTTTCAAAGAGTACAATGTCCAGTTTGGTCGAAATTGAGTTAGGAGTGGATTTTTGATCAGTCATTAAGAAGAATCGGAAAGTAATTTAATTGTGTGCCAAAACAGCCAAAATCCTTTTTAATTAGCAGTATTAAGAAGGTAGGCCGCAGCAAAACGGACAGTACCCAAAGCAGTTATATTGCGTTTTTGTGACGAATCACTTTCATGGACATATATTGTACACTTTGGAACTAGTAGCCTATGTAGACACACCGTCCGCGTTCCGAGTTTAGAGACCGAAAGTTCCGGGTGTAGCACCTGCAGCAATTGAAACGACGGCTCCAGCACCCGGAACTTTGATCCCGGAACGGACGGATATCTATAGAGCTCGTAACTTTTTTTCTGTGCGCTAAAAAAAAAAAAAAAAAAAAAAAAAAAAAAAAAAAAAAATCCTTGAAGAAAGAAAATATAGGTGGCGTCTAAAATGAAATTACGAGGTGCGATTTATCAAACAAGCTCTCACGGAAAAAAAGAGGCAGGGGTTAAGTCCCAACTTGGAAATTTCCGATAAATTAAAGCGCTGCTGGGTACAGAAAGGGCATTCCTTGGTTGCGGTGTCGAAGGATATGCGTTAAAGTTTCATCCACTGTAATTAAAGCAAATGTATGGAATCCGTTAAAACTTTTGCTGAATTTTCTTCATAATTGTTCTGTATAACTTCACAATGCTGAAAACTAAAAATTTCAAAAAATCCATCCAATCGTCCCCTCTTCAAACTAAAAGCGAGTCCCTGACATTTAAAATGAATGGCACGTGATTGAGTCAATTGCAGTAGAAAAGATGAAAGAAACACGATGAAAATTATTTCAGAAAATTTGAGCGGAACGCACCGAGAGTGGCTGATGTGAAAGTGGTTGATCCATCCACAACATTTTTACTACCCTTTAAAATAGTCCTCCCGATTCCATCTCCGACCAGCATCAGATTTATTTTCTCCTTGGGGACCCATGGATTTTCCACATAAACTCCGGCCTTTATGTATATCGTATACCTTTATATTTAGCCGCACAAAAAAAAGAAAGAACGTACTGTTTAAAATAATATCAAGGCACCTTCAAGATTAGGTAAATAAACATTCACTACAGAAAGTCTAATACGTATACCTGTTGAGTTAATATATTCATCAGTGGCGGGGCGTGAGTGATAGAATATCCTATCCGATATTTCGTCTGCTTCCCGCCAAAGTATCACAAGCGTCATGCGACGTCTAAAATTTTCACCGCCATTTTATTTTTTTATAGAAAAATTGTTGGTTGAATCTGTTTGAATATTTCACTAAACATCCGCAGCACAAAGAAAATTCACGGCACTTTCGGACAGCTTTGTTGAACAATGGAGATGTTGCATGTGTGAGGAATTTGCAATTTGACTGTTGATTCTTATGTAAAAGTTCGCGAGAAACACAATGATGCTACTGGTTTTCTCTGAAATCGTCTCCCAAGCTCAAAAAAAGCTCTCAAAGTGAGGCCAAAATGGAGGGGATATCCCACCCTACCCGGAGAGTCCACCTCTACATCAAGACTTCTCCATGCAAAGATAGGGAGCAAATATATTGACAGGGCTGCCACTTCATTTGGCTCTCCAAAACTGAAAACACGGCAACCCTGCTAATGTATTTGCTCCCAATCTTTGCATGGAGAGTTTATCTTGATGTAGAGGTGGACTCTCAGGGTAGGGTGGGATATCCCCTCCATTTTGGCCTCACTTTGAGAGCTTTTTTTGAGCTTGGGAGACGATTTCAGAGAAAACCAGTGGCACCATAGTGTTTCTCGCAAACTTTTACATAAGAATCAACAGTCAAATCGCAAATCCCTCACACATACAACATCTCCATTTCTCTGTAAAAAATAAAATGGCAACGGAAATTTTGAAACGTCGCATGGCGCTTTGGCCGGAAGGTGACGATTTCCCCATCTGATGCCATGGTAAAAAATCGATTATCAAGGTGTTCGTTACGAACATCCTGTTTATCTATACTTTTTCATAGCTTTAAATGACAGATCAAGTGATTTATCGCGAAGCACGCCACGTCACTGACACACAAACGTCACATTATTAACTTTGGAAACTTGGACTAAACGCACCGAAAGTAGCTGAATTGAATGTTGTCGTTCCATCCTTGACGTTTTTAGAACCTCTAAGAATAGTTTTCCCAATTCCATCACCAACCAGCATCAGATTAATTTTAGTCTTGACGACCCATGGAGTTTCCCAGTACACTCCGGCCTTAATGTATATCGTGAACCTTCACAATTAGCCAGAACAAGACAAAATAACAGCTCTCATCATTCTTTACAGCAATAACAGCATACTTGGACTGCGTACAGCAGGAAGGAACCAAACCACATCAGTCATTGCCAATTTTAGCTGGGTAATTAAATTTTTTGCAAGAGAGCTTCTGTACGGATTTTTTTGAAAATGTTAAAGAATTTGCTTCGTACTGTGCAGAAAATTCACTGACATTTGCACAAAAATCCGCACAACCGTTTTCATGTAAGAAATTAAATTGCTCAAATAAATTTGGCAATAGCTGATGTGGGTTGGTTCCATTTGGCTTGAAGTGGTCCATTTATACTACCCAATACGGGTAACAAAATAATCGTTGTATCAGCCGAAAGTTTCAGTTTATTATGAACAAATTGAGTCAGAATTTCGTATACGAAAGCTTTCTGTCACTGTGGGTAAAATAAAAGCGACAAACGTTAATATCTTAGTTAGGCGTTGATTCAGTAATTTTCGATGCAAGAATCGTGTTCTAGGTGAAATTCTGGTTAAAAAATATGTATTAGAATACTTAAAGTCGTACCTTGTCTAGTGGTCAATTTTAACCATAGGATTTAAAGAGGACTACATATTTAATATTTGTTCCGAATTGAATCGTGTCGTGCGAAAACAGCTAATGTCTATTTTTCCAACTTTCTACAACATTTTTTCAGTCTTGAGTTTTTTGGGTTGATAATCTTTTCGTAGTTAGATGCAACCATGAAAACGATGCTAATATTCGTTTTAGGATTATTTTATTCCCGAAATCAGTCATTGCCCCACACTCACGATTATAACAACTCTTGAAAAGTATAATTAAAAGTTGAAAAATGGACATTAGCGATTTTGCACGATATCATTCAATTAAAATAAGCAATTCTTAGATATAAAATGGAACTCACCTGTTCCGGTTGTTGGCGGGTGCCGCATTGATAGCCTCCCAAACAGTTTTAAACCTCCCACTCCCATCTTGAGCCACCACAATATCGAATGCCGGACCAGCCTTTAGACTTTTGCGTGGACCATGGCCTCGGGGCGGACCATGTGACGTGAGTGACCTCCGATCTAAGTCGGACAACCATTCCGGAAACTCCCCTTTCATTTCCCCGTACTCCGGAAACACCTCAGATTTTGTGGGGCTCCCCAAATTGGGCACTTTATGCAGCATCGCCAGTGAATTACTAACATGGTTAGAGAGCTTAGAAAGTCTCGAATGAAACCTCTCCCTAAGCTTGTTCTTATCGCAGTGAGCCAGGCTGTCTAGGCATGTGCCTAAGTTGGTCATCGCTCTACTGAGGGCGGTCTGCAGGTCGCCCAATTCATTTCGCTCGAGGTCAGCAATAGCGGTCCTCAGTGTCGAGTTGGTGTCATCGAACAAGTGTATGCAATCATCGAGTGCTATCTGCTCGGTATTGGCGAGGGTTTGGTGGTTCTTTTTGATATGAACACAGTCGTGTGAACAGGAATGGACCTCGTGTACGGTGTGGTTGAGAACAGAGCGGATCATTTGTGGTATGGATTTTGAGGCAAGATTCGGGAACGAAGTCAATGTTGAGATGCAAAGGAGTGGAAAGCGTGCTTTTTCGCAAGTTTGACGTGCTATTTGAAGATCTGTCTCGTGTGGCCATATTGTCGCTTCTGTGATACCAGTCGAGTGTAATACCAATAAACATGCGATAAACGGTGGAAGAGCATTTGATGATCTGATGTTGGTGTAATGCATCGTAACTAGAGTGAGAAGAGTTAATTTATTTAGTTGTGTCGCTGGTCTTATAACTAATTAGTCACTAGTTTTTTTGCAATGGCGTGGCGTGATTTACGACGTATCAGGGCCGGATCTACGTTTCACGTAGGGGGGTGCAAACCCAGATTTTAGCGCCCCCACGCCGGGGGGTCTGGGGATATGGAATACCCCCCAGGAAGGCGGGGGGTTTGGGGGTCCCCCCGGAAAATTTTTGAAAATTACAGCGTACCTAAAGGGCGTTTTCCGGAGTTTTTAGCGAAAAATTGATTTTTTTAAGTTTGATTTTTGAGGTCTCAAAGAGCGGTATACGCGCATGTAAAAATACTTGCAGTCGCATTCCTCAATACATTCTTTATGTGTGCTTTCTATAAAGCACTGACAGATACGTACTTACACTTCACATTTTATGAATGAATATTGGGTGTACCAAAGGGTAGGTTGAAGCTCCAGCGAATGAAGGAGGTAAGTATAAGTAACATTTTTGTGATTTTTAGAAAGACGATTTTAATGTTGAAAAGTTACGTGGGGTCTTGCAGCAAAAAAAAA